GCAGGACGCATGTGGGTGTATTAATGAGTCTCTCTGATCCCCTTACCACGGAGGCATTGTATGTGCTGCCTCTTCGCTGGCAGCCATGTTCTTCTTTCTACATGATTTCTTATACACATAAATTTAATTAATAGGTCTTAATTAAATAATACAGTTCAAATTTTGGTTACTTGAGTATATTAACTGTTGAGTAACTTGTTTGATTTTCTCTGCTGGTGAAGAACGATCTCTAGTGTTTCAAAGCAAGACTCATTTTCAGTATTTCTATTCTGTTCCAATGAGCCTTGCTTTCTAAGTAGTTATGTTGTTACAGATAAGCCAGTTCTTAAAAGCTGGAGTGTTTTTCAGAATTCCTCCCAGAGATAGTTTTTAAAATGTCTTATCTGCACCTTTGAATCTAATATTCTTAGGTTCAAGATACTAGAATTTCCCATATAGTTGAACAATTGATAGAGAGATCTATAAGAAGAAAATTAGTCTCTATGTCCAGTGACTATGACTGGTTCAGTTTGATTTTGGGGAATGAGGAATAAAATGAACATCTATGGCAGAATTCTGATTTTCTTATTTGTTTGCTTGTATTGCCAAAACCACATAAAACCTTAGCATCTTAGTTATCTTAAGCATATAATACAATAATACTAACTGTAAGCATGTTGTTTTAAATAAATATAACTTTTTTATGTTGAAAACTAAAATTCTTTTTCCATTAACCAATTCCCCATTTCCCCTTCCCCCTGGAAATCTGCCATTCTACTTTCTGTTCTTAAGAGTTTGACTATTTTAGGTACCTCATATAAGTAGAATCATGCATTATTTCCATTTCTGTGACTGGCTTGTTTCATTTAGCATAATAACTTCAGAGTTCATCCATGTTAGACACCATAACACAGAATTTCCTTTCTTGTAAAGGCTGAGTAATTGTCTCCCGTGTATACCACATTCTCTTTATGCATTCACCCATTGTTGGCTTGTTTCCACCTCTTGGCTATTTTGTATAGTGCTGCAGTAAACATGGGTGTGCACATATCTCTGAGATCTAAAGAACTTGGTTTTGGATATCAGCTACCTAGACTGCACATAAGAATTGTTTTTTTGTTTTTTATGTACCAGGGATTGAAACCAGGGTCACTTAACCACTGAGGCACATCCTATGTCCCACCCCTTTTTTATTTTGAGACAGGATGTTTGTTTTTTTTAGTTGTAGACACAATACCTTTATTTTATTTATTTATTTTTATGTGATGCTGAGGATTGAACCCAGTGCCTTGCACATACTAGGTGAACGCTCTACCACTGAGCCACAACCCCAGCCCCTTGAGACACGGTGTTTCTAAATTGCTTAGGGCCTTGCTAACTTGGTAAGGCTGGCTTTGAACTTGTGATTCCTTGTTTCAGCCTCCTGTGGCACTGAGATTACAGGCAAGAGTTGGTTTTTAAGCCCCAAATAGGGCTTAAAACTGCATATTCGGTAATTTACACTAGAGTCCCTTTAGGCTTTGGTAAAAGCCATTTCTAAATATATTCTGGACAATTCTTAAAAATCTGTTTTATGACATTGCAAGATTCTGCAATACAAACTATCAGCATAATTTTTAAGGTTTGTTTTTTTTGAATGCCTGGTTTATGATTAGTGATTTATTGATCTGGATTTGATAATTTATGATTATGCATGTAGTTTTCCATTTTCTTCTTTCTTATTAGGTGGTTCCCAGTGTTTGACAGAGATCTTATGGTTATTTGGGGGAATATTTGGTTGTAATGTAGTATAACAGCTTAAAATGGCCATAATGTATACTGGGATGTTTTATCTGTGTATGGTGGATGAAGAGGCCCCGACACTGTAAAACTACTGTCATCTTTTGCTTCACATATACCTCCTTTGTCAGTTTCTCACCTTTTGTTCCTATAGGTAAAGCAGTACCAGGAGGCTTTTCTTAGCAACTCAGACTGCAGAGTGGAATCAGATGAGGAACTTAGGCAAAAATAAAAAAACAAAAACAAAAAAAACACTATGTTTTTTTTTTTTTTTTGATTCCCACTGCCAAAGATTTGTATTTAATTGATTTATTTGTGTGGCCTGGGTCTGGGAATTTGTTAGTTTGTTTTAGTGCTTTAAAATAATTTCATAGTTTAAAGAAAGTTACAAAAATACAGAGAAGTCCAGAAGCTGGGCATGTAGCTCCCAGAGAGGGGAAAAAACCAGATTAGAGGAAATTACTCATTTTAGAGCACAGGTTAAAAAAAAAAAAATCCAAACGGTTATGAGATGGAAAGATTTCCCAGGTCCTTAATTGTCTTTTCAGCTTTGTCTGTCTTTAACGTGTTCATTGAGTTGTATTATTTTAAAAATTGTAATGATATTAGTATAATTTCATGAAGCTTTCTGGTTATTTTTCAAATCTGTTTTTTTCTTTTTATTCTAATTTTATGTCTTTGTATTTAAACATGTCTGCTTTTAAGTTTCTATTTGGTAGTGCTATATTCTGTAGTTCTTGGGGATCTAATTTAGTTTGTGTTTTTGGACTCTTACTAAGGTATTTTTTTTAAAAAAAATGTTTTTTATTAGTGCATCACAATTATACTTATGGGATTCATTTTTACATCCTTATGCATACACACAATATAATTTGGTTACTTTCATTCACCAATAGGTTGTATGGTTTATTAATACCGTAAGAATTGGTAATTTTGAATTTTGTATCCATTATTAGTAGGACTTTTTCTGGGCTTTAAATTCTGTGCATGTCTCAGAGAGGTTTTGCTGAGTATCTCAGGTTTATATGACCAACCTAGAAACAACTTCTATTTTGAGATCTTGTCTTGGGTTTAAGAAAAATGGGGTTCTAGCTAGAATAGCTTATATTCCATATTTGTACAATTATATCAAAATGAATTATTCTATTATGTATAACTAAAAAGAACCAATTAAAAAAAAAAAAAAGGAATCCCCAGGGGAAATTCCTTGTTATTATTTCCCAGTGCCTAGCAACAATTGGCAAGGTCTCAGGTCTGACTTTCCCACTAATGGTTTAATCCTCAGTGGCTTTATGTGAGATTTCTTAGTTTATTCTTTGTGTTGCAGATATCTCTGTACCCTCATGTTCTGTTTCTGAATTAAAACACCAGACTGTAGGCTATTGAGACAGACAAACCTTGGCTATAACTAGTATAAGTTTTATTATATTATTTACAAATTCTTTGAAGTTTTGCTATACATTTAAAGGATACTTCTTATATTCAATATCTCTGAGTATTTTGTGGTGAAAGGGCTTTAAGATTATTATCTAGTATTCTATATTTACAAAAGTTAAAAAGTCTTATACTTAAATGTTGACTATGAACTGCAGGGCCATTTCCTACTTAGTTCACCAAAGATTAGTCAGCACCTGTTGCTTGGTCCATACCAGCCACTTAGTAAATGCTTGTAAAATGAATGAAATTTAGTTATAAAACTGAGAACCTGGAATGAAACTATGTTTGGTAATAGAGGTGCAGTTAAGTAAATAAATGGTCATGTTTGCTTAAACATAATTGACTATTACATAATATTTTTCAGTCAGAAAATACTGATTTGGAGGGCTTTATTACAAAACTTAAAAATTTATTAAAGAGAAAGTTTTGGTAAAAAAAAAAAATCAGAGTTCAATTTTGAATTAATAGTATGGTACCAAAAATGTACCAAATATTAGTGAATATCAACAAAATCATAATAGCTTACATTTGAGTGGTGGATTGATGATCCCTTTTTTACCCTTTATTTTCCATACTTCTTATCATGTGATTTTATTTTTTTAAAAAAATATATTAGCAGGGCACAATGGCACATGCCTGTAATCCCAGTAGCTCAGGAGGCTGAGGCAGGAAGGTTCATGAGTTCAAAGCCAATCTCAGCAATTTAGTGAGGCCCTAAGCAACTCTGTAAGACCCTACCTCAAAATAAAAAAGTAAAAAGGGCTGGGGATGTGGCTTGGTGGTTAAACACCCCTGGGTTCAATCCCCGATACCAAAAAAAAAAAAAAAAGGCATTCTTAATTTTTTTATATTTAAATACACTAAAAGTTGACAAAACTTAAAAATTTCAGAATTAGTTTTATTATTAAAATATTTGCAGACTTTTATATGAAAACACAGAAAAAGATCTTTCTGATACTCAGCGACATCTTGCTAAGAAAAAATATGAACTACAGCTTACTCAGGAGAAAATTATGTGCTTGGATGAAAAAATTGGTAAGTTTTTTTTCCGTTACTTGTAGTTTTTTCTTAAGTCTCATAGAAAAATGTGTTCTGTCTAGTTATAAAATAGATAAACTTGGAAATGGATCCTTAATCTAAAAGTTTATGAATCAAAAATAATGAAAATTCATTTTTATTTGATAGTAAGATTATTTTTACTTAGATTTAGGATCATATTTAGTTATGACTTAAAATTGTCAGTGAAGAAATAGCTAGACAAAATAGTTACATTCTTAAAATTTATGTTAAATTTTAAATTTTCAATTTCAATATGATGCAACTTGCTCATAGCTGTTGTAATGAAATAGTGTATGCATGTGTGTATATAAATATATACATATCTATAGACATAAAACTTTTGGTGGAAAGTATACATATGTTTGGCTATGTCTAAGATATCACTTGGGTTTATAATGAAAATGACATTTATAAAATCTATGTGTTTTTTTACCAGTGATCTGTACAAAAGTATGGTCATAACTTAAATCTTCTTAGAAATATACAGCAGATTTTTTTCAGGGCCTTAAAAGAGCCTATTTTTAAGCTGAGGAAAAAAAATTAACATTTGCTATTATGTAGTTGAATAAATGTCTGGCATGAACAGTTAGGTAGCATTTCTGTTAATTGAAACAAGAAATATTAAAAGAGTAATATAGAAGGGAATGCTGAAGGAGAACTCATTTTTTGATGTTTTGAGTCCAAGTAAAGATGTAAAGTAAGAAGTTGGATATATGAGTTTGTATCTCAGAAGACAAATCTAAGCTAACAATATATATTTGGGATACGTCAACCTATAAATTATATTTTAAAACCATAAGATCACATAGGAAGAATATAGAGAAAGAGGAGATGATGATCCAGGACAGAATAAGAAGAAGCCAAAGAAGTAGGAAGAAAACCCAGAAGTGAGTGTTATTTTGAAAGGCAAGAGAACCAAGGATTTTTAAAAGGGAGGGTATGATCACTTGTCAGGTACTTTTAAGTAATGAAACAAGATGAGGATAAAAATGTGTTTATAGGATTTGTCACATTGGAGTTTTAAAGTTTAAATAGTCTTGGGTGTGGGTTTAGAAATGGGAAGTGAAGTACAGATGGAAAAGATTAGAAAAGTCTCTCAAGAAGTTTGACTATTGAAAGATAGCAGAAAAATAAGGTGGTAGATTGTGTGGATGTGAAGTTGAGGATTTTTTTTTTAAGCTAACAGATATAAGAGCTTTTTAAGAAATTGATTGATAGATTGGAAGTGGTAATGAACTCAGATATCGGAACACCCAAAACATGTGGGTTGCCCTAAAGGAAGCACTGCCTGCAAAAAAAGACATGATGCATTTTCAAATACTATGTGACATATGACAGTACCTCCCTTGACACTGAACCCAAATGAACCTTGGTAGGGTTTAACTTGACGGGCAGTATCTAGAGGTCTGGTCTAGCAGAAATCTTCTTGTAGAGCTCTAGACCTGTGGTTTTCAAATTTTGGTGTATATCCCAATCACCCAGTAGATAAAGATCACTAGAGCCAGACTCCCTAAAGTAGTAAGGACCAGAACTCTTGTATCTTAACCAGTTTCCCTAGGCAATTCTGAAACCCTAAGACCTCTTCTCTAGACCAGTGGTTCTCAGCCCTTTTATTGTGCATTAGATTCACTGTGGGACATGGGAGAAGTATGCTTGTTAAAACATAATTTGCTGTGCCTACTCCCAGGATTTCTGATTCAGTAGGTCTTGGGTGGGGACGTGAGAGTTTTCACTTCACAGATGATGCTGATGGTACTGGTTGAAAAACCAGTTTCAAAGTCTTTGTTCTATAGCAATCCTTCAGCCAGTCAACATTGCCATTGCCCCGCCAGTTCTCACAAATAGAATTATACTTTCTTGGATGATATGTTCCCTTGGAATATTAGAAAAATCATAAAAAATAAGAATATTTCAAGATATTTGACTCTAATAATGACTTAGTTGAATAGTTTATTAATACTTATTACCTACCAATTTTATATGCAACAGTCATTCTAGTCTGTGGAGGGAAAGGAGGTGACATTAAGGGTGGCAGAAACTACAGGTTATTTTGATATTACACCTATTGCATTCATCCACCCTCTTCTTTCCCACCACCCAGCTTTCCTTCACTATTCTAATTCAAAGGTATTATGTTTTTATGTTTATGAGCCATTTAGAATTTCTTGATGGATTGTATTTTATAATCACTAATAAAAAGAAACATTTTAATTTGGAATATTGTACTCTTAATCATGGAATACAATATAGAGGAACTTTGAAAAGTATTTCAATCTGTTTGAACTGGAAAAAGATTTGTCTTGATTAAACCAACACCTTTATGATTACATATTTAGATAATTTTACAAGGCAGAGTATTGCACAGCGAGAAGAAATCAGCATTCTTGGTGCAACCCTCAATGATCTGGCTAAAGAAAAGGAATGCCTGCAAGCATGTTTGGATAAAAAATCTGAGAATATTGCATCCCTTGGAGAGAGTTTGGCCATGAAAGTATGTTCTGAGAACTGGGTGGACAAGGAATGTTTAAATGAAATATTTAAATATTAAACTGTAGTTTGCTTAAATCTGAATAAAGTAATAGGATTTTCCTCCAAGTTTTTTTCTAGAGAGCTAAAATTTAAAATCTGACTTTGAAATATTTTAAGATAGTCTTAGGAAATACATGAGCAAATTTACTAGGTAACATTTTAAATTGATTTTTCTATTATGAATTAGTGACTATTGTTCACTGACAATAACTAACTCAAATATCAAAATAAGGTAGTGAATCTGATTTCTTCTTAAAACCATTTTCAGGTAGTCTAGGAGGCAGTATGTTTGCTCCATTAAACTGCCCTTGTGGTATGAACTAGGAGTACCTTTTTATATCATCCTCAGCCTTTGAGAATAGATCATATGGTGCTGGTGCATAAAGCTGGATGATAATTCATCCCATATGTTTTTTTAAATTTTATTTTAATTTGTTATATATGAAAGCAGAATGCATTACAATTCATATTACTCATATAGAGCACAATTTTTCATATCTCTGGTTGTATAAAAAGTAGAGTCATGACATTCATGTCTTCATACATGTGCTTAGGGTAACGATGTCCATCTCATTCCACCGTCTTTCCTAACCCCGTGTTCCTTCCCTTCCCCTCTCCCCTTTGTCCTATCTAGAGTTCATCTAACCTCCCATGCCCCCACCCCACCAATCACATTATGAATCAGCAGCCTTAAATCAGAGAAAACATTCAGTATTTGGTTTTTTGGGATTGGCTAACTTAGCATTATATTCTCCAACTCCATCCATTTACCTGCAAGTGCCATGATTTTATTCTCTTTTAATGGTGAATATTGCATATATTTTGCTCTTGTTGTTAAACAAAAAAGGTCATGCTTGAAGGCAGCTATTGGTTTTAGCTCATAAATTGTGAAGCCAGTTCCTAATCTGTTTTCCACATGTCTTAAGCAATAACAGCATCAGTAGAATAAGGTCTTCCCACATTCCAAGGAAATGGATTCATGAAAATTCATCCATCCCTCTACCCATTCTTCAAACATTTATTGACATGTACCTGATATTATGTTAAAACTGAGGGTTAATGAGCCTATAGTGGAGCCTAATACACAGAGAGATAAATATATTATTATGATTGACTTTGTTAAATGCCATAATGACACAAGAAAAATGTTTTATTGGAGTTTGACAGAAATACATCTTAGACAGCCTGAGAATTGGGTTAGGGGAGGAGGAATATCTAGGAAGTCTTCCAGGAAGTAACAGTGCCTGGGCTTCCCTGAAAAATAACTAGAAATTAGCCAGAAAAATATTTAGGGGACTAGGATAGTGATACAGACAGGTAGAGTAGCTTACTTCAAAGCTCAGTGGCTTTCAAGAGAGAGTGACATGAGACTTCCTGATATGGTCAGAGATAGGTATGGATGGATATGGAAGGGCAAAAGATGAGATAGAATAGAAAAACAACAAATCTCAAAAATACATGTGATGCTGAGCAGGTCATTATAATGTATATGAAATGTTAGACTTTCATTCTTTAATATTGTTGTTGCTTCCAGTACTGGTTATTGAACCCAGGGGCACTCTACCACTAAGCGGCATCCCTAACCTTTTTATTTTTTAAATATTCAGACAGGACCTCACTAAGTTGCTGAGACTGGCCTCAAAATTTCAACCCTCCTGCCTCTGCCTCCTGAGTCTCTGGGATTATAGGCATGTGCCACCATGCCAGCTTGCATCTTTATTTTAGAGCATTATTCTGGCAATATAAATCCATAAAAAGATATATTATGAGAAAATGAGAGTAGTGACAGGGACACTAGTTAAAAGAACAGGGGTGAGACCTGTATGAGGATAGTTGCAGTATCAGTGAGAATTAGATCTATTGAGGAAGTAAAATTAATAAGATGTGGTTTCTGCCATGAATAGTTCCTATGAATTAAGTAGGAAAAACACAGAAAACAGGGCAGATGTAGGTGAGGAAGATTATTCACATGCTGAGTTTAAATTGTCTTTGAGAAATGTAGATGAAATATGCATAGGCTCTTGGATTTTTAGGCTTGGAGAGAAAATTGATGTTAATAGATTGGGGATCATGAGTGTAAATGAAGTCTTCAAAAGACATGAGCTAGTAAATACAGGTTTATTTGATGGGAAGTCTTGATCATTATTTTTGAATTTTTATGATTTTAAGTGGAATTTTGCTTCTCCTTATATTCAAAACATTTTTTTTGAATAGTTAAACATGACTTTTTAAAACACTAACGTTCAGAAACTAACATTTTTCAGAATCTTATTTCTCTAAGTCATATCTAATCTTTTATTTTTCTGACTGTACTGATGTTATCTTTACTTCACAAGGAATTCTGAGTGGCAAGTCCATTTCAAAATTAAGAACTTTATATAAAATTTTATAAAAGTAAGCATATTCATCCTCTAAATGGAAAATAATTTTTAAAGACAGTGTTAGAGAGTTAAATGAGAATGTTCCATATAATGACATTTCAGAACTGAACTAATAAATGTCATTCAGTGAAATAGGACTGTTCTAGTGAAATAGAACTGTTCTATAGTCTTATATGGAAATTACAGAAATAAGTTAATTTGGAAAATTCTACCTTATAGTGAATACAGTGAAAAATTTTGGGTAATCATAGTTTTAAGAGATTTTCTAGTACTTACTACCAACTAATGTTAGAGAACTCAATAACAACCTCAGATTTTTGAGTAATAAAAGCCAGAATATTTATATGAAGTTTTAGTTTTTCTTTTTTCTAATTATACTTATGGCATTCTGTCCAGACATAATTTTAACAGTTAATAAGAATCTTTCTTCCTGGTTGGATGTTCAAGGAATACATTGAGGTTGTTCAAGGAATAGTAGATTGCTAATGTTGGTAGTTTTGAGGAATGGTGGTATTAGGGTATTAAAATCACTAAGAGAAAACCACAGAGTAAGAGGATGCATTTTTAAAATTCTATTCAGTAATTCTGTTGTCCTGAATACTTTATAGTGTTCCTGGATCATCTTACTTTTAAGGTGAACATTTAGTGATAAAGGAAATTCCCTTTTAGGCTTGTCAGTATATTTCAAACTTAAGATTTTATTTTATTTTTTCCCCAAATCCCAGCTGCTCAGGAGGCTGAAGAAGGAGGATCATGAAGTAATGACTTTCAAAAGCTAGAAGTTCAATTAGATTTTCAGTATATATTTTTAAATGTATTAAATTTTATTTTAAAAAATATAAATATTCCATGCCATGTAAACAATATTTTGTTTGATTTATTTCCCTCTTGTGTTTTTTCTTCTTAAAGGGATTTAATTGTTTTTGTTAATGGGTATTTTGACCATACTCCATACTTCATTTCTGCCAGATATAGACTCTTCACCATTCTATTAGAAGGCAGGAAGGGAAACTGAAGCTAAAAATACCCTGGCAAGGGGCACATGAATAAAAGAAGATAGTGCACACACAAGAAACTTACTCTTTAGAGACAAGAACAGAAGTGGTTGGGAGATATAGGTTTGCTTTCTCATCTTTTTTTCTTGGTTGCTAAGGATTTAAAAATACAAAGCAACGTGCTAGGCATTATTATTGAAAGAATAATTTTCCTACTTTTCTTTAAGGCTAATATTAGCTGTAAGTGTCTGTTTATAGTTAGATTAGCTCAGGATCAATGAGAGTTGGGAATGGTACTAAAGGCATTAAGATGTTATAACCCTTTTCAGCCTTAACTGACTCCACAATTCTATTCCTTCACCACACCTTTAAGAAAAGGGGAGAATGTAAATGGTGCATTTTGTTATATCTTTGGTTTGGGCCCCTTTATGATCTCACACCTACATATTAAAAATGTACTTTTGTCAGTAATTTCATTGTAGTAGTTTTGTTAGATGATATTGCTGAGTAATGGAAACAATGTACTTGGTCAAAGTTATGAAGAACTAAATTTAGTTATACATAATTCATGCCTGTGGCTTTTATAACAAAGAATGTAAAGAAGTCAATCAGCCCCATTCATTATAAAACAAACCAATGTGACATCATTGGTTTGCCTCTAAAAACAGGGCGTTTATGGATGTCTTGTCTTGTTAGGTGATTGCACAAATCTTAAAAGTACTTGATATATGAGCTCCTATTAATATACTAAAGTGTAGCTTTTACTCCAATGAACTTAATCTGTTTTGCTTAGTGAAGTTATTCACACTGATATACTAGGCTTTAAAGTGTACAAGAGAGTAGAACATAAATATTCAAAACCAAATAGAAATCAAAAGGGAAAATTTTCAGTTTTGATAGAAATAACAATTTAAGATAATTTTAATTTGATATTTATATTATCTTTCAAGGAAAAGACCATTTCAGGCATGAAGAATATTATTGCTGAGATGGAACAGGCATCAAGGTAAATCATTCACCAAAAATGTGAACACTTAGTGTACAAAGACAATGTTAAGCATAAGGTGATAACTCCTAAATGTTGGAAAGAGGCCTAACTCTGCCTGAGGAAGTAAAAGAAGGGATGATGTTTACCAAGTAAAATAAAGGGAAAGGCATTCAGATAGGAAAGAAAGCAAAAAGCCACAAGTCATATTGTAAAGCCTCTTGAATTACAAGTAGGTGGGCATTGTTGTAATTCGAAGTCTAAGAGGAGAAGTGAAAGGAAGGAGAACAGACTGGAAAAGACCTGTGTTGAAGACAATTGATTCTTAATTTTATTCTTTGGGCAATAAGAAACCATTGAAGAATTTTAAGCAAGAAGAATAGGTGATGGGAAACTGGGCCATAGGGTTTAGGGAACAGTGTGAACAGGGGGCTTGTTCTGGAGTACAGATGTGGTTGGGAAAATTTAAATGGGATTTCTTGGAGAGAAGGACTAGAGTGAGAAGAATCAGGATGCTAAGATTTGAGACCTGAAAAACATTAATTTTTAAGAGGGCAGAGGAAATAATTCACCAAGGAGGCTAAGCCATAACAGAGAAAGAATGAAGGCTTTCCTATTCTTGAGTGTCACAAGTTTTCAAATATTTAACAGATCATTAACTATTATGTATATTTAGTACCTTTTCCATAGTGAAATGATGACAACATAGTAAACCTCTAATGAACTTTTTTTTGCAGTATTCTTGTAAATTTAAACATTTAAAACCTCTTCAAATGTTTTCATGCTAACTGTCCATCATCTGTCTTGTGAGAATGTATCAGTCCATTTCAGTAAAATGTCTCTTCTTACATGCTGTTTGATTTGTGGAATAGACAGTCTACCGAAGCCCTAATTATGTGTGAACAAGATATTTCCAGAATGCGTCGGCAATTGGATGAAACGAATGACGAGCTGGCTCAAATTGCTAGGGAAAGAGATATCTTGGCTCATGAGAGTGACAATCTCCAAGAACAATTTAACAAAGCCAAACAAGAAAACCAGGTATATTTGTTCCTAGAATCTTTTCCCCTAAGGAAAAATACACATATATTTATTTCTTCTGAGGCACATCCCTTGTTTCATTTTGCAGAAAAGCTCAGCTATTGGAAATAGCCTTTTTAAAAAATTTATAAACAGAATATGCCATGTAATTTTTAAATGAAATTCTCAGACATGAAGTGTTAAATATTAAACAAAAGGAATAGGGATATAATAGATTTGTATTAAACCTTAGAAAGTACTTCCTTAATGAAGAATATATATTTGAGTAAACCAACAAATGCGAATAAAAGCCATCAGAAACTTTAAAGAAAAAGATTTATTTAATGCACTGCATATTACTCTGTTTAAATGTGAGACCATGGACTATACCACATGTTTTGGTCCTCCTTAGCACTGTAAGTCTTTAGGAAAACTCCTTTTATAATTAGTCTTTTCTTTTATAATTCAGTTCAACCCACAGTTCTTATTTCCATTAGTATTATTTTAACTTGAACATTAAAGTTTCCATTATTTGGAAAGTTTCTTTCCCCCTCAAAATTCCCTGTTACCACTGTCAGTGTATTTAGTTTGCTTCAGAAGCACTTGTATTCTTTAGCTACCAAATAGTTATAATTTATATAAATAGCAATAAAGATGCAACACTTTGTCAATTGTAAGAAATTATCTGAGACATTATTTGAAAGTTAATGAATAATGAGATCCTAGAACAAAAAAAGGATATTATGTAAAAATGAAGGAAATTTGCATAAAATATCGACTTCAGTTAATATTATCAATATCGGCTCATTAACTGTAACAAAAGTACTAGTGTAAAATGCTAATAATAGAAGAACATGGGTGTTTAGGTATATGGGCTGTATAAAATATTTCATAATATTTCTGTAAATCTAAAACTTGGAAAAATAAAGATTATTTTTATAAATGAATAAATAGCAGTACAACCCAAAAGATGTGAATCTATAAGGTCTACCTTTGTGTACTCTGTGTATACTAGAGCAAGTAAGCTAAAGCTAAAGATGGATATAATTTTTATTTATGAGAAACTAGAAATTTAGTTATATATTTTTTTAATAAGAAATAGAAACTCATTAGAAAATTCTTTTTTTCTTATAAAAAGGTTTTTAAAAACTCCTATCTTTACTACCCATGGTTAGTCACTATAAACATTTGACATATTTTTTTACTGGCTTTTAGTGAAAATTAGTTCAAAATTAAACATTTTTATATTATTCATATACATACATATATATATATATTTTAAATGTAGCTGGGATTTAAAACCACACCACTTTGTGTCATCCTTTTTTTTTTTTTTTTTTTTTTTAAAAAAACCTACCTGAGGAGCACTAGAGCCAAGTATTTTAGGTCTTACTTGGGGTTGAATCTCGCTGCCAGGTTGTACAGTCATATAGTTTAACTTTTCTATATCTAATTTCATAATCCTTAAAGATGGATATTAAGCGAGAATATACCTGGAAAGTACTTACCATAGTGTCCAGCATATTACTCAATAAATCGTAGCTATTATTAGCTTACTGTAATAGAAGCATTTCCCTGTCTTGTTAAAACTTTATAAGCATTTTTATCATTAGGAGAAAATTGGTAATAATTTACATATGTTCCAGAGTACATTTTTTTTCTTTGTTTGGGTAGAATAGGGATCCGTCTATGGACTGCAGGTTAAGAACCAATATCGTAGAACATTTGGAAAATTGAGACCTTAACACATTTTATCATTTGATATTTTTTTAATAAGTCAGGATGTAACCTGATTTTTTTCACTTAATATACATAACATCTTCCTCTATTATTAAAATTACTCCAGACATTTCTCATAGATGCATAATATTCTACTGTGTTATTATACCACTGTGTAGATATACTACTATTTATAGCAACATTCACCAAATGTGAATAAATATGAAATTTTATTAGATTTTATCAAATTGAATCAAATCTTATGAGACTTCTTTTTATGAGCATTTTCAAATGTCTCTTTTTTTTTAAGAGAGAGAGAATTTTTTTAATATTTATTTTTTAGTTATTGGCGGACACAACATCTCTGTTTGTATATGGTGCTGAGGATCGAACCCGGGCCGCACGCATGCCAGGCGAGCACGCTACTGCTGAGCCACATCCCCAGCCCTCAAATGTCTCTTGATATCATCATATAGTGATTCATATGATTACATATGCAAATTTATGTTTGGAATAAATAGTACGGTTCATAATTGAAATTTCAAACTTTTACTAACTAGGTAGGCAAAATACTACTTTTAAAATTAGAAAATCTTTGATTATTAGTAAAGTTTAATTTTGTTAAACATTATCTACTTTTGCTTTCTGTTTGTGAATTGTCTATTTATATCCTTTGCCCATATGCTCCTGGGCTTTTGTGTTTCTTTGGTTTTTATATGAGTTTTACACATTAAGTATATTAACTTTTTATATACCTACTTGTTGCAAACTTTTAAATTTTCATTTTTGATGTTTTTTACATGTAGGAATTTTTTATTTGTTGTATTCAAATCTCGATATCTTTTTTCCATAGGCACTGTCCAAAAAATTGAATGATACACATAATGAACTTAATGACATAAAACAGAAGGTCCAAGATACTAATTTGGAGGTTAACAAGCTAAAGAATATATTGAAGTCTGAAGTACGTATAGATTTTTTTCCTTTGCTCATGATTTTTAAGAGTTTTCACAAGAGTGAACTTAGTAATCAGTTGTATCAGAACAGGTGAATGAACTCTTTATCACATAGCTTATTTTAGTTTTGACAATGGTGAGTTAATTATAGATTTTAAAAGTTGCCAATGTCCAGAAAGGTGGCTACAGAATATATGCCTTTTAGTTTGCTAAGTAAAAAACATTCTAGACTAAACAGAATCTTCCTAACTGGATGAAGGACAAAAGGCCAGAATTAACTTGGCCTCACTTCTATTTGAAAACAGTAGAGGTTTCTGTTACAAGCCTCTGATGGAAGTGGCTCTACCTGATTATGTAGCAGAACAGAATGGATCATCTTGTGATGGAGTCATTTGTTTCTTAGGACCAGAGGACAGAAAACTAACTGCCCTTTGCATTTCTCTCATGTTAGCAACTGTTTGACGAGGTACATGTACCAGGTTTTTCCAAAGCACATACTCCATACTCAGCTATTATCTTTAGTATAATCCAGCAACTACAAAAAATATCAGCTGAGGCAGGTAGAATGTTGCAAGGAACCCTGTGGATGGCCAGAGCTTGCCTTGGGTACTGGATGGGAAAGGCACCTTAGAAAGGGGGAATGGAGAGTTCCGAAGAGCAGTTTTGCTTCTTCTATAAAATTGCTTATCTTAGGCCCCACACAGCTTTTGTGAGGGTGGTCGGAAGGCAGAAGAAACATTGTACAGACTCCTTTTTCGCATATTACCTGGTCATAAAACTGAGTTTAATATTAAAAAGTGGTTCCTGTCTTTGAGAAATACTAGATATTTTTGTAGCGACAGCACAGCCTCATCTAACTACATGAAATTACGTGGCATTGTTAAGAGAATGACTTAGACAATTAAGTACACACAAAGTTAAAGAGGGAAAAGGTTGATGTGGGTAAACTCAGTTTATGTATGTTTTATTGTACCAGGTTCTTCCAAAGCACATATTCCTTACTCAGCTATCATCTTTAGTATGATCATGGAAAACATACAACAGGTTCCTACTGACACGTTTGGAATATCTGAATCTTTTTTCTTTTTGGTACTGGGGATTGAACCCAGGGGTGCTTTACCACTGAGCTATACTGCCAGCTCTTTTTAATTTTTATTTTGATCAAGCAACAATAAAAAATAAAATAAAAAAATAAATAAAAAATTAAAAAAATTTATTTTGAGGCAGGGTCTCACTAAGTTTCCTAGGCTGCTCTTGAACTTGAATCCTCCTGCCTCAGCCTCCTGAGTAGCTGAGATTACAAGCATGCATCATCACACCTAGCAGAATATCTGAATCTTGAAAGCCTATGAAGTAGTTTGCTGTACAGAACTATTTTAACAGACTTGGCAAAGATCTTTCATGTGAGGCCACAAGATGGCAATATTAACTGAATTTCAACACGTTTCTTACAATCAAGCAAACTTAATAATGAGAACATAAATCTGATATGAAAAGCTTATAAAGTAAGGATAAAGAGACAAGGCTGACAATGGAGATTTGTTTTTAAGAGATGGGAGAGATTACAGTGTATTTTATGTGAGAGAACGGGAAATAGCTGCTTGATGATGATTTGATTTGGAATTTACTAAAAGTTTCCTTATGGAAAGGATGACTACTTATTTCAGCATCCAATGTATGATACAAAATAAATATTCAGTGAATACTTGCTGAATAAAAGATTGGATAGTGTAGATGGAAAAAAAAACTTAAAAACTATTACTTATTGCAATTTGGTTATTTTATTTAGCCCAGGATTTTTTTTAATAGAAAAATATGGTATTTATTAACAGGAGAGAAAGATATCTAGGAACTTTTTATTAATTACTGAATTATAACTTATTTTTTTAGAATGGGTTAGCCAAACTATAATAGTAAGATTTTTTTTAGAATGTATTTTTTTAAAAGATTTATTTTTTTTAGTTGTAGTTGGACACAATACCTTTATTTTATTTATTTATTTTTATGTTGTGCTAAGGATCCAACCCAGGGCCCCGCAAGTGCTAACCGAGAGCTCTACTGCTGAGCTACAACCACAGCCCAAGATTTGTTTTTTAAAATAGCCTAATTATGATTTTTCAGAATATTGTATTATTTGTGGAGCTGAATTTTTTCCTCTGGGAAAAAGGTCCTACTTCAGTTAATCCACTCATGATAGAATTTTGAAGATTTTAAAAGAAATGGCTCTATAGTATATGTTCAATTTATATGTGGAAGCATATTTATGAATAACATTCCTTGGCAAAGCTTTGATATTTTACTTTTGAGCAATTAAGGGCAAATTACTAGAATAGCAGGGAAAGGTGAATTATAGTCCATGATCAAGAAAGTTAAGACTGGGGTTATGAATGAAAGGCAGGAGTCAGACAGGAAATGTTCTAAACCAAGAGAATTACAGAAGTCCACACTTAAGATATATAAGAATTCAGAAGCTGTGTACAACCCAGTAAAGTCGTTATGAAGAAGGAATACACAGAAATAAAAATCAAGAAGCTTAGAAACCTGACCAGCAAGTGGTCAGTAAACATGTGTATGGAAAAGGAGACCATGAGAATTTCATTTGAACAAAAGGAAATATAAGAGCCCTTTCTCAGGTCCTGAAGATAAGGTAAGTAGCTTTACTTAAATTTACTAGTGGAATAACTGAGCCAGTACAGATCCTCATCACACTTCCTTTTGTTAACTACTGGATGACCAGTTTTCTAAGCTAAGAGTACAGGTAGGTTTTTTCTCAAGGTTATGTTAGAAATGCTCCTTTGTAGCAAGTGGATTCCTAGTGACCTGGAAAATAATGTTTAATATGTATCATATGTTGAGCTTTAAAGTAATACCTAAGATTTGTTTTTCAGGAATCTGAAAACCGGCAAATAATGGATCAACTCCGAAAAGCCAATGAAGATGCTGAAAACTGGGAAAATAAAGCCCGGCAAGCTGAGGCAGATAACAATACCCTCAAATTGGAACTTATCACTGCAGAAGCAGAGAGTAACAGATTAAAAGAAAAAGTAGATGCTCTCAACAGAGAAGTTGAGCAAGTAAGTTTGGGAAAATATACTTATAATACATTCTGCATAATATTTAAAGGAGTTTTGTTTTACTTTCCACAAATTAAATGTGTTAACAAGAAGTTAAATTGTTTAAATACTGTGAATTGTGGCCTGCTGACCATTTGCCTTACACTTATTCTGATTCTCCTCTATTATCTACCTTACAACAATTATCTTTAGCTTTTTTTAATTGAGAAATATTTCAAACATAAAAAATGTACAAAAAAAGGTCATGAAACAGACAAAAAACATCCCTACCCTCCAGATGTAAGAATGCTAATATTTGCCTTTGCTTCATAATCTCTTGCTTAAAAATGCACATTACAGATACCAGTTCTCACTCTTTTCCTTCCTCCTTCCTTGATTGTTGGTGTGTATATCTTTTGTGTTGATGTGTTGCTTACCAATGATGTTGTTTGTGTTGTTAAATTTTTTTCAAATATTATCATACTATATATAACCATTTTTCCTTTTTAAAAAATATATTTTTAGTTGTTGATGGACCTTTATTTTTATTTATTTGTATATGGTGCATGGTGCTGAGAATCGAACCCAGTGAGTCATGCATGCTAGGCAAGCACACTACCTAGCATGAGCCACAATCCCAGCAACCCCATCTTGCCTTTTTTGATCAACTTTCCTTTTTTGATTAACATTTTAATTTTGAAGTTTATCTGTTTTGGTACATGTAGTGTTTTTAATATTTTACTGTTTAAATCATTCCCATGTTGAAGGAAATTTAATTTTTTCTCTAATAAGATACTTTGCAGTAAACCACCTTTTACATTTCTCTCAGCTGTATGTCTCTCTAGGCTCATGTGAATAACTAGATCCAAGATAATTGTGATTTCAACTCTGTTATTTGAAAATTCCTAAGGTTTTGCTTTCCCATCAAAAATGGTGGGTTATTATTTGCTCAAATGCTAATCAGTACTTGATATTGTCAGATTTAAAGTTTTTTCATACTTTTGTGTTTCCTTGATTACAGGTAAAATTGAAGGTCTTTTCATGTTTCTTGGATGAATTTTCTCTTGGATTCTTTTTAAATTTTGCCCATTTTTCTTTTGAGTTATTTATCTTTTTCATATTAATTTATAGAAATTCTCTATATATTCTTAATAATAATACTTTTAAAGTATGATTATTACCTTATTCTTATCAATGGCTTGTCTTTTTCCTTTTCTTGCAATATAAATCCATGTTAAACTCAGATGCACTCAAAATTATTATTAATCTTGTCCTATGTGGCTTATGCTTTTATCTCTTCCTTAAGAAATTCTTTACTATCCCAAGGCCAGAAGGATAATTCCCTATATTTTTATTTAAATATTCTTTTCTAGAGGATAGAAAGAGTGGGGGAAGGGAGGACAATGGGTGGGTGGAAAATTGTCGCCAAAGTACAGTTAGGGAAAGGGAGGTAGTTCCGATATTCCTTAGCCTAGTAGGGTAACTCTAGTAATCAATGATACATTATACATTCTGAATAATTAGAAAAATTACAATATCCGAGGAGGTGGAAATGCTAATTTTCACCTCAGTTTGATCATTACACATTGCATACACATATCAAGTTCTAGTACTATACCCCATAAATAAGTACAAAGATTATAGATCAACTAAAAAATACTTTTATTTTGGTTCTTCTGAAAGTTTTATGTAGAATTTTGCTCTTCACCAATATGTCTTTAATGACTTAAGATTGATTTTGTGTTTGAAATAGCGAAATCTTTTTTTGTGGATTAATATCCATCATCCTTTCTTCAGTGAAATATAAGTGTACTTTGTCAGAAAAATAACATTCAACTCCAGTTGT